TATCATATAATTAAATAACTAAACAGAAAAAGAAAAGGTACACCGGGGAACAGCGTTTTTTTTAATGGATCATGTAATCTTAGGACCTTTTTTCATCTAACTTCTGTGGGTGAGATTCAGAGCAGTAATTGAGTTCTGACCCCAGGACAGAAGCAGAAGCAGTGCAAATACAGAAAGATGATGATTCTTTCAGCTCTTCTTTAAGAACAATCTAAAACTAAAAGAAAGGTTACTTACCAGTAACCGATGCTCTTTGAGAAGTGTAGCCCAAATGTACATTCTAACAATTCTACCTCTCAATCACAGGACTCATACCTGGAAGGACTCTGAGGAGAGAGGAGAAGCAGATGGAAGACAAATGTATATGTGGACTACACATTGTGAAGAACACCGGTTACTGGTAAGGCATCTTTTTTTCTTTGAATGAATCCCATGTGCACTCTTAACAGTGACTGAATCCAAGCAGCTACCCCCAGTGACTCATTACATGGCTGAGGCCTCGATACCTTTCATGTAAGTATTAATTGCACAACCTTATCAAGTGCTTCAGTGTTATGCCTGGCAAAGGCAAGGATGAATCTCCAGGTAGTTGGCATTGCAAGTATCAGGAATCAAAACTTCCCCGACTGTAGAGGGTAAAGCCACCTAAGCTCTGGTCAGATGCACACTAGCCCTCATTAGACTCCACCTTTGCAATCTGATAGCAAATCAGGATTCAACCCATCATTGCCCTTTCTTGTGTAAAGACAACCGAATACTGCATTTCCCAGGGATGAAGGGCCTCTAACAGGGTTGAAAACGTTTGCACCTGTAAAGATAAAAGGAGAGAGGACTCCTAACTATGGAGATAAGAAGTGTATATTCTTAGAGTGTGTGGTATGGGAAAGAAAAGCTGCAATCTAATTCCCTGGTTAAAATGGAATTCTAACATGAGTATTAGAAGAAAGTCCTGACACTAAACCAGCTTCTGGTTAATTAAGATCAGCAAGGTCCATCTTACAGCAATGTGGGCCTTCAGAAGCACGGAACAAGAGCAAAAGCCTGTAGCAGCTGAAACGATAGTATTAAAAATGCACTAGAGAGGGACTCCAAACACTGACCCACCTTTGAGCAAAATGTGTCACCTCACAAAAATTTGAGATTCCCATTAGCCTGAGTGGCAAAGAGGTCTATATCAGGTTTGCCTCCTTCCTGAAAGACATCCTATCAGGATTTTAGATGAAATCTCCCAAAATGTTTCTGACTTTCATACCCAGAAAAGCTCCAGATAATGCAAAGAGGGAGAGCTCCTCTTTTCCTCTTTACATGCTACATCACAGTTGTCCATCACTGCATGTGTGCATGACCATACAGACAGCAGACTGCAAATTTTCCATGCACTCTGGCAAGGCAAACTCAAAGCCACCATTATCCCTGTACTCTACATGTCTTGAGCCAGACTGCACTCCCCATGCCATGAGGAACATGTCCAGAGTGCACATTTTTGGAGGCTAAAGGGCATCTTTCAATAAACACTTGAGTAGCCCAGCTACTAGCAGAGAAAGTCACTGGGATAAAGGCAATGATGTAAGAGGCTAATGGATACACAGGTGCACCATTTACAGTCACAGTTGTAGACACCAGAGGTGAAATTCAGCATGTGGCAAAGTAGAAGGAGATGACCCTGAGGTATCATTCACTGGGATGAACCTGCAGTGGACAGATCCCCAAAGGATGACTGTGTCCCCTTTGTAAAACTATAAATCCATAACGATCAGCATGGATTGACAGCCATGGTGATGGAGTCTGTTCCTTCTGCAAGGAAAGTAACATGCAAAGATGCACAAGCAACTGGACACCTACCAGAATGTATATGGAATCCTCTCTGGTGTCAGGAGGAGAAAGTCATCAAGGACTGACCAGGTACATTCTGAAAGAATCTATGATCATATGCACAGCCCATTGTGCATCCCCATTTGTTATATTGTACAGGGAGTAACAGCTGCTCTTCAGAAGATTTGTGCAAAGGTCAGAGCTTTCATGCCAAAAAGGCTGCATCAGCAGTGTTCAGGGTGAATGGGTCTGCTTTAGCAGCGGAGCCCACAGAGGCCAGGGCTCAGCAGGTCTCCTAAAAGGCTGACAGGGAAAAGGCCGACCCACACCCCAGGCTCCAGGAGCCCATCACCGTAGGGTGAAGCACATGCACTGATTCCTTGGCTCTAGAATCGCCTTTCTGCTCTGCTTGCATGTCTGTGTCTCTTCTTCCAATGGCTCAAAATGGTATCCAGGAAAAGAGCTGTTGTGGCAACATAGAAAGGTTCCTACCAACAAGCGGAGCCCAAGTACACTCCTTAGTAACATTTACATGTGGACTCATTCAAAGAAAAAATGGATATTGCCTTAATGTTAATATGAATGGGAAAAACGGGAAAACAGAAAAGTAAAAAAAAAAATAAAAAAAATTTCAACATTAGGATGGTATCTGAACTTTGTCCAAACTCTTTGGTGCCAAAACGTTAAACTTTTTAGTTTCATTAAAGTGGGAAGCTCCATAATAAAAGCATTATCACAATGTTGCAGCAGGGCAACATTTAATCTCAGCTGGAATTGATATCAACAAAGCAGCAAAAATTTACTCCCCAAACTCCTCAAGAAAAGTACACAAGACAATTCAACCAGATTTAAGGGTTGAAGGTCTGCAGTCTGAGTCAGTTCTTATCCCTCCTAGTCTAGACACATGCTCTCCCACTAGTTCTACAATGCTTACAACTTGCTGTACAGTTTTTCAGGTGGACTTGAGAGAACAGCTTCCCACCCCAACAGGCAAAGGTCCCATTCTCCTGCCCTCCTCACACCTGCTTTGGTGCACAGCCACAATTTACCTTTAGCTGGCTTTGGTGTTTGCCAGACTCCACAGTGAGCAAATGGACCATGAGGAGTGTCATAAAATGAACACAGCAAGAAGAACATTAGCCTCTTCCATTTTCAGTGAGATAAATCAGCTCAGTGACTTGTCCAGTGAGCCCTGAGCAAGCATAAGGGCAGATGCAGGGCTACCAGCTAGCACTGAAGGGGGAGTGGGAAGGACAGCAGCTGACGCATTCCACCCCAAGGAACATCACATCATTGAGATGCTGAGTCCTGTAATTACTTTCCTCCACAACGGAAATCCCAATCCTCTCCTATACCTGGGCAGCTGGGGAAAAAGGAAGGTGGGGCAGGACTGCTGTTCTGGTGGCATCCAGCTGTCTTGGTCGGGAAACCTTGCCTGCTCTTACCACCTCCACTGCCTCCTCCCAGCAGTGAGCCACCTCCTCCCTTTCTCACCGCTGCAATAGCACTCATCATCAGTAATTACACATGAAGTCATGGCCCTGAAATCAGCAGCTGACCTGACTGAAAAGTAACTTGGCAAAAAAAAAAAGGAAAAAAAAAAACCAAACTAGTTTTCCACTTCCTCAATGCAAACTCATGGCACAATTACAGGTTGGAAAAGAGGGCAGAGTGATCTAGCTCAGATTGGTTTAATGTGCCAGGGCAGGCACCCTGCAGTTGCAGCTCCTTGGACTCCCAAGAGGCCCTGAACCAGCACTGTCCTGTTGCCTCCCTACTCCTATGCTTACCCTGTGCCTCCTCCTGTAGTGCATGACACTACAGCTGGCTGTGCAGCAACAAGGTGGACCAGCCACAGGAAATAGCCATCTGAAAATCCACCATATTGCTGGTAGGCTGCTTTCATCTATATCACTTATGTATTCAAGATCACCATACACCTGGACAAAATCGCACTGGGACAGGACAGGGTACATGGATGCAGGAACAGTGAGGGGAAGGTGGACTGCCTTCACTGGCAAGAAAGCCAGCTTGAGGGATTCTAAAGCATTGCCTGAAATACAGTTTCAGTCTCTAGCTATACAGATAAAAGCACAACTGTAAACTGCTGTGATGACATACTGATGGCAGAGTACTCCCTGTCCCTAGGAGAGCACTGGAATTTGAAACCCAAAATCAAGAGACCAAAGATTTGATCCTGGGACTTGGGACAGTTTCAATACAAACTAGAGTTAAACTTAACTTTACGTTCTGGTCCATACATAATTTATTTTATGATACACAATTGCAGTGCAGAAAATCACCTAACAGAATTAAGCAAATAATTTTAAACAAATATATTACAGGGATTTCTGCATTACTTTATATTTTATGGTCAACCTTAATTTCAACAATGAAACTGCTAACAGCAAATGAGACACACATGTGGGAAGTCCTAATTTTTACTGAGCGTGGATGACAATTACTGGAAATAAAATGGTATTCACGCACCATTTGTTGCACTACCAAGCAAACTTGTATTTCTGTGGTTATACTGAAAATTAACATATGCTTGGACTATACGTATGTATACATTTCAAGGAAAAGTCAGCCTTTTCTGATGCCTATGGCAGCACAGGATAGGTATCAAGAAAGGCTCACGTTAAACATTCTGTTTCTCAGAGGAAGGCACATGCATAAGAACAGAAGAATCTGATTTTTTGATAAAACCTTTGCTCTGCTGAAGGAAATAGAAAGTTTTCTTTTGATTTCAGTGGAGTCAGGATTACATGCTAGTGTGCTTGCATTTAATGATTTCCTAGATATCAGCTTGTCACGATTTTTTAATCATTAAACACTATAAAGTTATATACAATTTTAAAGCCAAATATCACACTTTCACATGGTAACATCAGAAAATAAAAGAAGTAAATGGGCTTTAATCTATTAAACCACATTGAGACCCAGACCTTGGCCCCATTCAAGTTTTTCTTTGGATGTCAGTGGAACTAAGACCAAACCATAAAGATTAATAAAAACAAATCAAGATTTTTTTCCTTATAGTTTAAATAGTTTAAACAAGTAATTCTAAACACATTTTTTATATTTTAAAATATGTCTTATATACATGTATTTTTACAAATACCTAAGAACAGGGTTTTTTTAAAATTAATTCTTATAATGGGTTAGAAAAAGTATGTGTACTATACCTGTTATCGCTCAGATTTAACACTCTCAGCTTCTGCATCTGGCCAATTTCATCAGGAAGAAATTCTAGCTTGTTAGAGCGCAGTGACATCACTGTTACGTTTTTACAGCTTCCAATCTATAGGAATGAAAAAAACCAAAGATGTCAGAATCCCTGCTTTGATAAAATTTATTATCACTAACTTTTTATGTCAGGAGGTGGCCAAATTGTGTTCTCACTATAACTGACAAAAAGCAGAAAATAATGCCCTCCCTTTGTCAGTAACATCAGGGAAATGCTCAGGGCTACTTGCACTACTCTTCTGAATGACATTCTCACCTTTACATGAATTTACTAATTTACTGGTTTTACTATTTTACTGTTGAGTATGTAAGATATGGTCTCCCCCATTGTGCAGAAACAATTGGTTTAACAGATATTTTGCCTGAGTAGGGATGAAATCTTGGGCCTACCACAAAATCTTTCAATCTGTAATTTAAAAACAGAATCAGCTTCTCACTTCTCTGGGCAGTTCAGGAAGGAAATTCTCATCCACAGCCAATGTCCTCAGGTTATGAAGGTAGCCAATGGTAGAAGGTAAGGACTCCAATTCATTACAGCTGCAGTCAAATTCTTCTAATAAAGATAAACTGAAATTGTAAATACGCTTGTTAGATGCTATACAGAGACTAGATAACAAAAAATAACAATCTCAACCTTTGAAAGCATCACACTAGTACAGACATCACACCCGGAAGAGGCAACCTTTATTGCAGCTTTCCCTAGGAGAAGTCTATAATAATATGATTTTAAGAACTATTAGGGACACTGTTAATCAATCTTATCCAATAAGGCAGTTTAATGAAGACCACTTAGTTTCCCCACATTATGATTCTTTTTGTAGTGAGGCAGTATTCCAAGTACTTCAAACAGACAGTGATCAGGGCAATTCATACTAGGCTGAAGAATCAAACCAAAAAGTTTATAATCTTAACATACAAAGACAGACAACGGGTAAAGAAATACCGCTGGTGAGAGCAAAGGGAAGGGAAGCAGATATTGCCTCCAGGGTACATTACAAATGATGCACTTGACATGATTTCTAATACAGATCAGTAATGAAAAAAGATGAGCTTGGATCCAAGCTCAGCAAAGTAATCTCAGCCTGTTGTAGTCAGACACAGATTTTGTAAAAGTGCTTATCTTTCCCATGTTGAGAAAACCGGCTAAAAAGTGATCTGTAAAGGGTATCTGTATGTCAAGGACCAAAACAAAGCAGACCAAAGTAATCTTCTGATGCTCAAGTCCTCTCTTAAAAAAAAGAAATAATCTCCATTTCTGTCTTGCATCCCTTTTTCTAGATTGTTGTATTCTGTCGTATTGTGAAAAGAAAGAGACCTGACCTTTCCTCTATGTAATCATGTATTCAGGAGAGAGGATGAAATAGAGATAGTTGACAGAAACTGCCCTGTTGAACTGAAGTCCCAGTTAGCCATAGTCCACAGTACCAGAGAGAGGTATAGAATCATAGAATCATTTGGTTGGAAAAGACCTTTAAGATCATCAAGTCCAACCATACCTGTCCACTACTAAACCATGTCCCTAAGCACCTCGTCTACCCATCTTTTAAATACTTCCAGGGATGGGGACTCCGCTACCTCTCTGGGCAGCCCATTCCAGTGCCTGATAACCCTTTCAGTGAAGACATTTTTCCTAATATCCAATCTAAACCTCCCCTGGTGCAACTTGAGGCCATTTCCTCTCATCCTATCCCTTGTTACTTGGGAGAAGAGACCAACACCCACCTTGCTACAGTGTCCTTTCAGGTAGTTGTAGAGAGCAATAAGGTCTCTCCCCTCAGTCTCCTCTTCTCCAGGCTAAACAACCCCACTTCCCTCAGCCGCTCCTCATAAGACGTGCTCCAGACCCCTCACCAGCTGGGTTGCCCTTCTCTGGACACACTACAGCACCTCAATGTCCTTCTTGTAGTGAAGGGCCCAAAACTGAACACAGTATTTGAGGTGTGGCCTCACCAGTACCAAGTACAGCATACAAGAGGTTGTGAAATGAATTGGAGGTTTTGTACTGAGTCCTAAACAAAAGGGGCCCACATCGTAGAAGCCACCACCTTTTCTGACAGCATCTGGTACCTATGCAGAATGAACGACAGCCAAGGAAACGCCAAGAGAGCCGACCCAGTGCAGAGCGCCGACAGTTAGCACTTGAAGCTCCCAACCCACCACTGCTCCAGTACGAAATGGCCTTCGGAGGCATTTTTCTGCTCTTCAGGACCCTGTCCTAGCCAGTCACACAACCCTCAGGACTCTTTTGAGTGTTTGCTTTTCCCTAAAGACTGCAGGTGGGATCAGGCAACACTTAAACATCAATCTTACTTTGGTGATTAAGAATCAACAATTTGACCTTTGCTAATGCAAATAACACAAACAGGAATATATATGTAATACATGTTTTATATATAGATAGATATATAAAAGTAGATACATATTACATATATATTATGTACATACATAAAATGTTGTACATATACATTATGTACATATATAAAAATATTCTGAAGAAATATCTACTGGATCTCTTAAAAATTAGGCTGGATATAAAAATTCTTGAAATGAATGCTGTACTGCACTGCTCATTCAGCTCAGGGAATAAAAGTTTTGTGACCCATAACAAATGCCATCATTCCCTGCTTAAGCTGCCCCTTTTTTGCTCCACACGTACTACCTTTTTCTCTCAAGTGCTTTAATTAACAGTAAGGTTAAATGGCAAGCAATTATTTCTACCTCACTGTTTGTCATCTCCCTGTCCACTGACAAGGGACTAGGTGCCAAGATTGTCTGGGTTTTTTTCCAAATGTGCCAGTAGATCTGATAAGAAGTTTGCCTCTGCTACAAACCCTGCTTCTTAGTATTTATATGAGTCACAGCTGCAGAACTGGACTTTCACTGTATGTCTAACTTACCTTTATTCCAGCTTCTTAATTAAAAAAAGTCTTTCAGCCTTCAGCCTTTATGAAACATGAAACCAGAAATAGCTATTCCTAACATGGAATTCACAGAACTTTCCTCTAATTGCTGTATTTCAGTAGACTGAAAAGCCGAAGTGAGTCATACAGTGATTAGTGAGAGAGATGCATGGAATATATCCAAAAGCTCTGCCAGGTTTGGTTATAGCTTTTCTTGTATCTAAGCTTTGTATCCACCACAATTTATTTCAAGCTAGATACAAAACAACTTTAGTAAAGGGAGAATTCAGTCATGTTTACCTACTTCATACAGAATATGTGCTTGACAGAGCGAAGTCCAACTGGAAAGCTTGTTAAACTGCAAGATGCACACATTCTTCCTTTTAGGGACAATAACACAACCAGAAAAGCTTGAAAATTGATAAGCTAATTGAGAACTATTACTATGTTTCCAATGGCAGTCGGAAAATCTGATATTCTGAACTGTGACTGTGGAAGTTTACCTGACAGGGAAGAATGACTTTATCAGACAATAGAATTTGATTTGAAAGGTATTGTCTGGCAAAGACATTCTCAGCTTCTTTCCTTCCTGATGACATCATCAGAAGACAAATGAAGATAGCCACAATAAAAACAAAAAAGTCAGTATGAAACCTTATTTTATCTCTACAACTACCACAGTTAAAAAAATATGCACTTTAGAAAGTGACCTTTCATTCATCATGGATTGTGCATGAAAGTAAGTTGACAACAACGGCTATAATTCTGACAATGCTAATTTAGTTAAAATATCATAACCTTACTGTCGTCTTGGGCTAAATTCAGATCACTCTTGATAGGCTTAAAGAAAGGCAGACAAAAATCAGACATGCACCTGCTGTTCACTTTGGCACCCATTGAAATGAGGCAGTTCACAGCACATGTCCTAAGGTAGATGAGGAATATATTTAGACAGATCAGTAGAGAGAGGTTCATGGAGAATGAAGACTGCCTTGAATGAAAGAGTAGCTCCAACCCACCTCAGCCCCATTTCATACACTCAGAGCCCTTTTCTCCCAACAGCCACAGCACCCAGATAACTGCCAAAGCAGCCTTAATCCTAAGAGTTAGCTACACCCACTATTTGTCCAACATCAGGCAAATGGAATTTTGCAGAGCGAGGAATGTAAGTTTACACTTTACTTTGCAGCATCTTGTACTGTCAGATATGGTATATACTAGACATCTGCACAAAATGCTCATCTAACTCAATACACGGGCTCTTGAGCTACTGCACCGTTACCTGTGTCGGAGTACGACTTCCATCGTGACACCTTCCTACCCACAAATGGGAGCATGGGCATTCACTCAGGTCCTACAGATAAAATCTCCAGTCTTTGGGTCCAATTTAGTACTTAATCAATGTGAATCCCCTGATTTTACGAGTAATGTTTTCTTAAGCTGGGTCTACTGCACATAGTATCTTGCAGGGTCAAACTCTAAACGCCACTTACAGGCTTGCCCTTTGAACAAGACTGCCAAAAATGAGGGTGGCGGTTCACTACTAGTGGCACTGACTCAGACAGCATTGAAGTGCTCTGTGTCTCATCATGAAATTGGTCCCTGGAGGGAGAGTTCCCTCCTCCACATTGCTCATCTTTGTGTGACAATAATATACTCTGCAGTGGGTACTACGACTATCGTTTAGGAGAAAGAGACCCAGTAGGAAACTATCCAAATGCATGAGTCAGAGAAAGGAAGTTTATTCTGATGTGGGAGACACTGTCCTCATTAAATGAAAGTACTTCATTTAAAAAGCACAACCAATCACTCAGAAATAATGTGATATCAAGTGATTAGCCTACTGCTCTGCATATACACCATTTAGAGCATCAATATGCATCTTTAAAAATGTAATTAAGGCTCCATGACAAACAATACTGGACAGACATTAAGTTAAAAAAAAAAGAGGGGTTCCCCTTCAATTTGAACAATTCGATAAAGAAGAAAGCACCTTCAAGGCAGGTTTTAAAAATTGACCCCCAAAATTGTTAAAGATAACATTGGACATTGTATCAACCTTTTTGCTGAGCATCCAGCACAGCTTTGAGCCTTACAAGCCTTCACTGCCTATCAGAATTTATTGCTACATAATATTTATGAGATTTCATAGAATCATAGAATCTTTTAGGTTGGAAAAGACCTTTAAGACCATAGAGTCCAACCGTTAACCTAACCCTGCCATCCCACCACTAAACCATGTCCCTCAGCACCTCGTCTACCCATCTTTTAAATACCTCCAGGGATGGGGACTCAACCACTTCCACCGGGCAGCCCGTTCCAATGCCTGACAACCCTTTCATTGAAAAAATTTTTCCTAACGTCTAACCTAAACCTGCCCTGCTGCAACTTCAGGCCATTTCCCCTCGTCCCCTTTTGTGAGTCATATAACCAACTTTTAATACTCTCCATGAATATCACATAAATCTAAAGATACTGCAAGAAGCACAGCATGGTAAGCCAAACCTGAGCTTTCAGTTGCTACAGTTGCAACAGTTCATGAATTTGGATTTTTTGTTTCCTGACTGGCATATCAACAACTAAATTATCGTTGAAATCATTACTATAAAATGGGTGCAGGAGTAGTAAAGCACTGGCTGTGCAGGTTAGAGATTATTTCTATTCTAGCGACCTCATTGTACTATCGTATTTGTGAACAAGTCTAAACGAAGCCTTCTAGGTTTTAATTTTGGAAGCCTCTGAACAGCTCTGGCTTAAGAAAACTACTTCTAATGAAAAAGTTTGTTGAGCTACAACCTGCTGAAGAGAGAATGGTTTTTGCAGTGAGAGCAAAGGCGTTGAGTCTGAGTTCAACTGTGCTCACAGATGCCTCATTCCCAACGTTTCACGCTGACAGCAGAGAATTTGGTGTAAATGGTATAACCATGTGTTCAGTCACACCAGACAGACAATCGTTTACTTAGGTTGAACTCTCTTCTGCATGAATACTATTGCTGGTGCAAGGAGGAGGATGAAAACACTAGAGCTATAGCTGTAGAAGGCAGCCAGGGACTATACATTCTGAAATTTCTTCCAAGTATCAATTTATATAGCATTTCAGAAGTAAAATATGTAGAGGAAGAGGCATCCTACAAAAACATCAACATTAAAGGTTAAAGGTATGTTCTGCTAGAAAGTGATACGTGTAGTGTGAAATAATACAAAGAATCACCTATTTCCATACTTGGAGACAGGCTTGCATCCACCTTGAATTTTACAATAAATCGCAGGTTTCATTCAGCAATAAGCTCAAGACACACAGCAGTGCAAGACGGAATTTTGCACCAGTGATCACGTAATATCTGACAAAATGATAGCTAAAGGGCATTGTTAGTGCTTTTCATAATAAGATTACTTATATGATACTTCCACATTTTGATGTATGCACCTATGAAATTGTCATGACTTTTTCATTTATGCTACTTAAATATTTTAAGAAATCTTCATACTTATGAGGCTTACAGCCACTTTCTTTTCAGCATCAAGTACTGGCTGTTGCTATGGAAACAGACGTATTTCCCCCAAATACTTCTATTTCTTCTACTTTTGCTGCTCTAATCATCTAAATTGCAAGTGATTCATACAGAAAAATATCTTTGTTCTTCTTCTTGGAAATATGATACATTTCATTTTCTTATCATTTACACCAGTATAAGTCCACAGAAGTAATACTGTTGCTCCAAATTTAAATGTTATAAACACTAGGCATGCAATTTGAAATTATTTTACAATTCAGTAGATCTTTGTCTTATTTTCGATTTTAAAAAACCCACATTCCTCAAGCAGAAGGGAAAACATATTTTACTTAATGTTGAAAATCATGAGACTTATACTCACTTTCCAATTGCATTTGGCAGAATTGTAAGCTGATTGTCATCTACTTTTAAAGTTGTAAGCCTTTTCAACAGTCCTGCAAAACAGGTAAGGAAGAAGTAATAGAAAAATATTTCACAATAATCTTTTTTCTTTCTGTAATATCCCATATCCTTAAACAAACAATGATTTCTAACACTGAATACCTTCGATCTAGATTTTAGAAAACATCTATATATAGGACAGTACACAGGTATGCGTTCTTGTCCCATTGAAAACATGATTCATCAAAATGGATATCCAATTGAATGTTAAGCTGAACTGCAAGTAAAAGAGTAACGGTATTTCTGGAGTCTTGAAAAAAATTTCACAAAAAAAAAATAGTATCCTATCTGTGCAGGAGGAGCAGTATCTCTACTTATCTATTAATGTTTCAATCGAGACCAAGTCCTGTTGCCTTGATTAAAAGCTGCTCTGGTCGTAACAGGATATTAGGCGAACTATCTAAAGTAAATGCTCCATTTATCAAGCTTTCCAATACGTAGGTATAGACAGAAAAACAGAATGAGACTGAAAACCAGAGTCAATCCCAAATGCATGTGTATATGCAGTTAATTCTTACCATTAATAGAATTACTATATATCTAAGTGTAAACACATGCATAACTGTGTAACATTTACCCAGAAGGGAATGAAACTTCTGCTTTACTAGTGTCTAACAGGCAGAAAACAATTAAAAAGACAGAAAAAATGGGGAAAATATTTCATTATAGTGCTAGAAACAGAGCTTGAAACTGATTTCCACCTCCTGGAAGTTATTAACATTTCAAAATCTGTTTTTTCCCTGCAAGAGTTCTGGATATACTGAAATAGCATTTTTAAAATAATTATTTGTAATTAATGTTGTGAATAATATAAATTAATCACTAATATAGAGAAAAATGTTAAACTGAATGTGCCATAATATGAAAGCTGAAGCAAATGAAAAGTATAAATAAAAGGGATACTAGAAACACTACTCATTTCAATTGCAGAACATTTTTGTTGAAAGCTTTTTCAAAATCAAGATGTTCCAAGGAAAACAGATTTCAACCAGATTTCCTTTTAAGAAGAAAAAGTTCCACCAAAATGAATTTCAGCAAGCTCTCATCTGAAAATGCAGTTGTAAAATGACTCTTTTTGCTTTGTTTCTGTTAAATCTATTACCATTCAGTAACAGGAATTTAGAAATGAGAACCGAATATATCTAATGGTAAGAATGTATAATTCAAAATGTAAACATTTATTCCCTTTCTACAGGAGCTAAATGCCCTCTAAAAATCAATCTGGATATGCATATCAAAAAAATATATAAAGCAAAAATTCTAGAATTCATGGTGAGATACAGAAGACCAAAATGGAAAATAGCTGCAAAAGAGATCTCCTAACATTCATGTAGCACAGTATTATTAGTTAGCAATACATTTTGGAATCCTGACTAAGTTGACTTAAAATTGGGGAATTTAACAGTTCCATGTTCAAAGGGATGCACTTAGGAACACGAAAAAGATGATGAAGATATAGTGGGCTCATCAGCTGGAGACAATAGAAGAGAGGAAATACATCAAGTGTTTCTAAAGAAAATGTAAGGGATCAAGAGTGAAAGGAAACATCCAGATGTATAGAGCGATATACCTACAACCACTTAGCTTCCAGAATTTCTGTATATTCTAAATAATTCAGAAATTCTATGCATGCAACATAGTCAAAAAAGAAAACAAATAGTTTGAACTATTTCTTTGTTTAATGCTCTCATATGGAATTGCATTACTGTAACTAAGAGGAGCGATTTCCTTCAAGAGTTTCACACTGCTAACGTATAATACTTACTTTCAAATTTAGATCAGATCAGTTGTATCTTTCTTTGCTTGTTTTCTTTAAAATAGCAAATCAGAATAATCAATACCTTCTAACCATGGGGTTTTTTTCTGACTTTACAAAATGGTCTTCATGGACTGTCCAGACATGGATGTTTCAAACTCCTTTGGAATTTAGTGGCAGTTCTTGTTCCAGCTACTATAAAGTCTCATCATTACCAAAAAATGATATAAATGAAATCCTGAACTGCATAAGATTACAAGAAATCCTGAGCTTTTCTCACCTATGGAGTCTGGCAGTTGCTGCAACATGTTAGATGACAACAGGAGATCTTCCAGTCCTTCGCATCCCGATATGTCCAAATCAACAGTTTCTATCCTGTTTTTTGACACATCCAGGTACACGAGCTGTTTTAACTTCCCTATAGACTTAATAGCATGTTACAAAGTGTTACTTGAACAGATATACACTGCATGTCAGTTTCTAAGTTTAATTGAAGAGAAACAATAGTAATACAGACTTATATTCAGTTATTGGGGGTTGGACTAGATGACCTCTAGGGGTCCCTTCCAACCCAAAACATTCTATGATTCTATGATCCCAGCATCCTTTTTACAAGATTTATTTTACTGAAGCAGTATCAGTGGTGGTCTAACAGCCTTCTTGTTCAGATAAACTGCAAAAGGAGCTGTACTAAATGACTAAATGACACATACCAATTAATTGATGTGTCCCAGATTCATTAAATCTGTTGAAAGTTTGAGTTCTCAGTCATACAGCTGTATTATTTCTTCATTCAGACACAGATCCAAGGGACATTTACTCACAGTTCACATCTACTCGTAACAGCAATCCTTAAGGTCACTGAGGCTAGACATGCAGGTAAAGCTTTTCTGTGTCACACTCATTCTCTGAATTTTAACAAATCTAAAATTAGGCTTTAGATATTCATAGTGCAATTATGAGCAGTTGGCACCAGTAGTACACTTTCATGAGTATGGTCTTTAACTGCAGCTAGAACACCAATGAGCAACATGACAGGAATTCTTAGCTAATTTCTTTGAAAATCTGTGTAGCACCTAAGAGTTTGAACCCTGTAGAAGCAACCTGCTTCTTGATCCATTATCACAAGATGGTCACTTCATTCTAGACATGCAATTTCACAAAGGAAATCAACAAAAAGGATGCTGTTAGTTTCCTCAAACCAAGACCAGTAAGTGGAACAGCAAAGAAGTATTGCTGCTGGGTCCAGAGTACACAAGTTGGATCTATGACCCAGTGGCAGAGCTATGACATGGAATGGAGGATTACACAGTAGGAGTGAGACAGGGAGCACAATACTGTTACGGGCAGATACCATGTGGCTGCAATATTGTCCATCCACAGAAATACTGTTTCAAACCCGATGCATAAACATTCATGGCCTATGCGGGAACTTCCTTTATGGATTTGGGGAAAGCCATGGGAATTGCTCCTGAAGACTATGCATTCTATAAAAGTTCATGGGAGTGGGTTCTTTAGTTATTTACATATACTTTTAGTGGTTCTTTAGAGATAACAAAGGATAAATGATTCAGACAGCTTCATCTACAGGTACTTTCAAAACAGTAGGAATATAGCTTGCTTTCAACTCACCTTGCTGAGATCTGCTCTCTGCTTCTAAGGAGGCAGTATCATGTTATCTTTAATCATATCTGAGTTGTTGTATAAAGGGAAAACCTCCCTTTCACCCCAACCTTTGCCATTCTACCCATATTAATAGTCGAATACAATCTTTGTTTCTAGCACAAACTACTTTTTTAAAAACTGAATTATCAACATTGGAAACCTGGTAAATCTCTAAATTTTAAAATCAATTACCAGTTGGTATTTCCTTTCTATTTTTAAAAGTAAAATTTTACAGCTAATATTACCTTTTTAAAATCTCTTGTTTTAGAGAAGATTTTCATAAAACATCTAGGATCTACTAGGATCAGATTCAGGAAACATGAATTATTCACTGAAAATAAAATCATTCCTTGGGATTCAGTTCCACAATCTACTGAACATCTTAACTCTAAATATCCTCTCCAGGGATTATGATAGCTCAGCAGCACTGTGTTTGAAACATTTTAGCACATTTAGCTAAACATTTAGCACTGGATATATTAAGCAATTTCATTGTGAACAGAAAAGAAACAGAATAATGGTTAAAATGTCTGTGCCCACACTCCCTTGTATAGCTGATATTTCTTCTACTCAGTTACACTGCAGCAACAATACCACAATATTTCTGCTCTTGATCTCCAGCTTGTTTCAGCATGAAGAAGTGGTTTCAACATCAGCTTTTCCTTTCACTAACAGAGCACTCAAAAAGTGGATATTTGGACAGTAACTGAAAAAGATAATTTTCTGTGCAAACATCCTGCTTAACACAAATTGAAAACTGAATGTAATCTATTTAAGACAAAAACCAGTCATTGCTCAATGAAAAAAAATCGAGTTTTGATTAATAAATGTTCAAAGGTGAAAGAGGGGGTACTACTTCTTGCAACACCTAGACAGGTTTGTAGTAGATCTAGTTCTACATTTCCTCTGCAGCACAGAAGTGTTATTGTGTGAAACTTATGATCTGTTACCTGTGTGATAAAATGCTAGTGACAGGGATTCCCTTTCTCCAGTCAAAGTAATTGCAGGCATTTAGAGTGATAATCTCAAATAATTTATGGCAATAAATATTGAAAATAAAAGTTCTACTGTGGGATAGCAACAACTCAGAAACAGCACTAATACATAACTACGACCCTAATGTTTAAATTGTAAAATACATTTTGTTCCTGTTCTAAATGGAGTGCTTTGTAGAGAAATGTATCATCATTTCACTGCCTCAGAACTGCTTTTTGTATAGTTGAATCTGTACATACCATCTGTTTATTTAGATTACTTTAAGTTTATTTAGATTACTTAATATTTCCTCTTCCTTTTTAAAAATCATGTGGGTTTTTATAAAACTGCTAGTTAATATCATGGTGACCGAGAAGACAATAGGAAACAATTTCCCCTCACAATGAAAACTACACAAGGCTTAAATAAAGCAGGCACTATCGTGTAATAACAGAACATTCAAAAGGTTTTCATATGAATGGCTATGCTGAGACTTTTATTTCTTGATAATAATTAATGACTATAGGAACTAGGAGTATGTACTCATTCAAGAAAATGCACATGCATTTATTTACTGCAAGGTACATAGTTCATTGTATCACACAATAATTTAATCGCATAAAATAAATGTTCATACCCCAGGTAGTATTTGCAAAGAATTATTGTCCATCCACAATTCCTTTAGATTCTGTATTTGTTCGAGAACCTCAGGCTGAGGAAAAGAATATAGTATTACGAACAGTTAAATAAATCAATATTTTTTTAGTTAAATATAAATCAATATTTTCTTAAAAAAGAGACTTCCTCTTCACCTTCCAGTTTTTTTCTTTTTATAACCCACATCAGACTTTCAGATAGTTGATGACATGAATAGCAGGCTCATTTCATTTAATTTAACCACTATTTCTCTTTTTCAAACTTGTAAAATTTAAGAACCCTTTGGAAAATAAATGAATACAAAGAAGAACTTCTTAGAAGTTCTTGTTTTAAACAGCCTATTGGCAGTATGCAATTTATGAACAGGGCAAATAAGAGAAGCAAGAGTTATGGAGCTTCAGAAACAATGCACTGAAAAGAAAGACCAAATCTCATCTTGCGGCACATGCAAAACTCTGCCTTTTGCACAATTTATAGTCTTAAAAATAGCTTAGTGGAGTCATATTGCTGAATGCTTTCCTGGATACACTGCATTTATATATGATTTAATGTCTGCAATTGTCATATTCAGCAGTTAAAATAGCAGTACGCAATTTAACTTAAAATTAAAAAGCCTTAAAATTACAATATTAAACTTTAATCTAAGATGTTCTATTCTTTTCAACACTATAGGATATTAGCAATAGAAACTGAAAAAGGCAATTCCCCAAGTCATTTCTTATTCATTACAGCTGTGAAAATCAAGAATTAAACTTTTCACAAATATTTCTATGTTTCAGCCTAAGCAATATTTTTCTTTTTCATGAAACAATATTTTCACAGGTAAAACAAGGCTTTCAATTTGCCTTAGCTCTGTAAAGTTGTAGAGATTTTTTTCAAAGTCTGACAGAAACTGATATTAAATATTTCACTTGGTTCTGACTAAATTAGATTCTAGAATTTTAAAAGTCTGTAGTACTGTTTCACTGGAATTATTTTGACACAGCTAGAAACAAATGTATCTGCCTAGCATCACAGGACCTTAAGAGAGACCTTTATCTCTGGCGCTCTAAGTTCTTTGGAATGTTGTAATTCCCATAAGAAATATGATTTTCCAGTCAACCAGGTCACACATAACATTATGGGAGAAGCTCCCAGTGCACCATTAGGTAAGAAAGAACCTGCTAATCTAGAGAGCTCAATCCCTCAGTTTTCCATGTTGTCACACAATGTGTTTCTATTAAAAATAATTAGTCAATATTTTAAAGATAATTTATTTTGCCTTGGCTAATTCTATTGAAATTTTGTTGTCCTTCAATAGTTAAAACCAATTCTAATTTCCAGGCTAAATTGATTAATGTTCATTTTAGACTATTTGTTCCTGTGATTATTAATGTTTCTTTATTCCTCCAGAGGGTTCACTAAGGTTATTATAGATAATCATAATTTCCCCTCTCAACTTTAATTTTCTTTTTAATTCCTCTCATTAGACAGACATCCTTCTCAAAGGAAACAGACCACTCCTATATTGTAGATATTACAGTTCGATTTGAAATTTCTTGCACATGGATTATGGTATACCACTATTACGGTACACCATGGATTATAGTATAGCATTACGGTATGCCATAATCCAGATGAGATCTCACTAATGTATTGATAAGTGGTATTAAACAGTTATTCTTCTCTGTTAGAAATGCTTCTGGTGGTGCATTTTTGGAGAACATTTTTAATTTCCACATAGATTGCCACAAAATTAGGATAGGATAGGATAGGGTAGGGTAGGGTAGGGTATTTCAGTTGGAAGGACCTACAATGATTATCCAGTGCAACTTCCCAACCAATTCAGGGTTGACCAAAAGATAAAATATGCTATTAAGGGCATTGTCCAGACACCTCTTAAACACTGACAGGCTTGGGGCATTGACCACCTCTCTAGGAAGCCTGTTCCAGTGTTTGACCATCCTCTTGGTAAAGAAATGTGTCCTCGTATCAAGTCTGAACTGAAGACTGACGTTACTCTTCGGTAAAAGTATATTACATTTTATCTTGATAATTTCTTTATCTTTCCTTTTATCCTTACCTTTAACTTTTCTTTCAAAATTTCTTCTAAAGCCTTGCTGCTGACAGCAGACTCCTGAAACTCTGGAAAGACCTACACCAGCCTTCCCCCTCCTTTCAGGCAGAGGTACCACAATCACTGTTCACCATTTGTCCAGTGCCATTTTTTGACACTTCAAAGACTGGGAGATTTCAAACCCTTGACCCATACCTTGTGATTTAATGCTCCAGTTTTCCCAGAGACCTATGACACAGATTACCTATTCCCTTCCTTGATTACATTAAGTCACTTGAATACAGTTCCTACTTAGGAAGTGACAATTTCTATTTTAGGGGCGCATACTTCTCTCATGATTTGTATAATCTTGTTTCCAGAAAATGAATGAACAGAATTACTTCATTTTTGCAACTACCTTTATTCTTAACCCCATGCCTATTGCTCCAGTTTGTCTGTATGAAGAGCATGGAGTCTTCCAGTGAAAAGGGAGGGGCTTCAGTAGTCCAGGGGTGGACTGTCAGAGAAATTCAGCTCTTCCACACCACCACAGTTCTAGGTAGTATTTTTCTCCAACAAGAAGGAATTTTCTAATTGAAACCCGAATCAGATTTTCATAATCCATGAAAACAAGAGCTTTTGAGCCTCATTTTGAAGGTGATCTTGATTTAAACTGGTACCACTTTTCCTATGACATTTCTGCAGATGCATGCTCTTCCCTTGCCTCTTGGTCCATTTTGCTTCTGGCATTTGACTCTAGCTCATACATTTTTGGACCAGCTTCCTGAAAAGTAAGTCAACTTGGGGAGTCTGGTCCTAATAGCAGTATGGGGCCACCGAACTCCTGGTTTGCCACTCTTAGGGGAGAGTATGCTACAATGCAAAAACGTAGAATGATGTTGAAATAATTTAAAAACAAAGACTACAAAACCAAACCACCCCCAACAAAGACACACTCTGAATTCAGGAAGCGTATAGGTATTTCTTCCAAACACCACTCAACTACTGAAATTTTATTCTCTATGCAAAAGATTTCTAGTTTTAATTAAAAATCTGAGTTAAACCCATCTATTTTCTCCCACATAGCAGTATAAATTAGTAAACGTTAACAGCGTTATAATCAGAATGGTTATAGTGCACTGTCTACAAACCAGATGTAGATTCTTTGCTACATCTTTCTATTACTAAATGACAATTCAAAATTTGTTTAAAGTGAAATTATCTTAATCTTAATTAAAGCTACAGGAAATATCACCCTCATAAAATTGCAAGGCCTGATTCAGCAGCACTATTTTTACAGATTGCTCTTCTATGACACTGGAGGAAAGGTGGTTTAACAGTCACTGGACAAGCTGTTGGTACATAAGGCACACACAGACGTTTATCCTGCCATCAGTGCAACAGTGAGTTCCAAAGTATTAATTTGTTGTCCTACAAAAGCACAGGCCCTCCTGAATAGCCCTAGCAGGTCTCAATAAGGATGAGGCAGAATTTTTTATAAGTTTTGCTTCTCTTAACATATTTACAGTTCCTGCAGGATGAAGCCAGTGAGTGCTCCTTAAAAATAGGCCCATTTTAAAACACAGTTTACACACCCTCATACTGTTTCTGAGAAGTGTCAGTTCCTATAGATGTAGTAGAAACACACCTAAAGGGAACAGCAACTTGATTATTTTCTATACTGAGACTAGAGAAAATTCCTGAAAGGTATGAAATCTCAGGGAACCTAATTCTCATCATAGGGACAGAAACTGCTTTTGGAGTTGAAGATTTACTCCTGCTAATAGCAATTACTAATATTTGCAGAATATAATGATAGATATTAAGAAATTAATAGATAATTGACCCAAGTATTTATACTGAGATCACTAATTCATCCCACGTTCAAGTATTGCAGCAGTCGCAACCAGCTCAGACTGAGAATCATCTGTGACCTTGATCTGAACTGCAGAAACCTGATGTAGATGAAGCATGTTGTTTTATCAACATTCACCTCATAAACTGTGATAAATCTTCTATTCTACAAGGAAATGTGACCATAGCATGTGTTCACAATACAATAATGCCTTTTAAGCAGAAGTTTATTACCTCATATACAAACCGTCAAAAACACACAGGCTTTTTATTAACAAATGGTAAATTTCTTACCAGTTCAGAGAATTCATTATTGCCCAGATCAAGTCTCTCCAGTTGAGTCAGTTTGTGCATTGACCTGTAACAAATTAGGAGATACCGAAGATGAAATTTTTACTTGCAAAATGCTGGTCAAATTTTGTTTAGATAAAGCTCAAATGATACCATTATTGCACGAAGAATTACATCAGACTGATGCTGATGCAAATGAGAACAATATACTCCACCTTTAAGACATGAGCTAAATTTCTTGAAAAAAAAAAAAAAGATAGCAACAATTACTTTAGTAACCTTGGCATAATTTTGCATAGTTGCTCAAGGAAAATTACCTATGTTATAAGCATTTGAAAGTAATATGAATTGTGACATTTTTGATACAGATTAATAAATTTGTTATCAATTTCTTTATAAACCACTAGAAAGTGTTTTGGCTCTTCACAGCAAAAGTACAAAGTACAGTTGTTACCTCCCTAAAACTGTACCTAACTACAGTCAGGATGCAAAACCACTTTTGTGTCAAGGATCAGCACAAAGCTTGCATGCTAAATGAGTTAAGCTTAGATGAGGCTTGTTTTGAGTACTTCTCTTGGTTAACAGACTGCACTGAGCTAATGGGGTCCCCTCCTCTTTGGGTTGTGGTATGGGTGACCTGAAACATGGCTTCCACTTCAGCAATAAGCAAACTGTCACACTGATAAGCAATGGCATTTAGTGACACTTGCTGACTGCCAGTAGCTGATGAAAACTTTCTCACTGTAAGCAGATAAACAACAGAATACAGATTTTTTTAATTAATGACCAATCTCAGATTCAGTCCTTTCATCTGCTACAAAGCACATCTAGGCAAGTTTTCGTCTCTGTGCGCAGTTCATGGCACAGGAGCACAGCAGGGAGATGGTGCAATCCACGACACCATGTGTGGATGGGAGCAAGGTGTTGTACTTTGCTGGCTGGGTGTCTCCCTGAGAACCCTGTTTTGGGCAGCAGCTCCTCTGAGGGCAAGAAAGGCTTCACACAGCCTCTGTTGCAAAAGACCATGTGCAAATGACAGCAAAATCAACCAAAGCAGCTTATCCTTCTTCACAGCATTATAAAAGAAAGAGTCAAAGAAGAACATAAAATAAGAAAGTGAACCAAAAATTAGTATCAACCATGCTTTATGCATCAAAGGACTTTAAATGAAGAATAATCTGGATTTATGTCTGTGACTGATCACTACATAACAGCAAAAAAAAGTCACTTTTACTGCTCAGTCTCAGGTGACTGAAACAGTGAAATAAGAGGAAAAGTGAGAAATTGCTAAAAATTACGTGATTAAATTCTGCATTTACTGAGGCCAATGGGATAAATCTCCCAGGTTTATCTCTGAATTTGTGCTGTGAGGAAAACTGGTCACCTCAACTATAGCTTAAACTGACAAAGGCACAGATCACAGCGTATGTGGACTGACTGTTAAAAGCATTTAAAATCTACCAATTTTGAATATAAGCAAACTTTTTAAAAATACACTGAGTAAGTTTACACTTACTTATCCACAATTTACCAGCTACTGTTTTGAAACATCAAAGTATTTTTGCTTAAAACAAACCAGTTGGACCCCTCTGAAGACTAGCCACTCCGAGTAAGTTTACACTTACTTAGCCACAATTTACCAGCTACTGTTTTGAAAAATCAAAGTATTTTTGCTTAAACCAGTTGGACCCCTCTGAAGACTAGCCACTCATTAGACAGTCAGGCAGCGCACACACTCTCAGCAGGGATGATAAAGCCATGAAAAGCATTTAAATATTACCAAAGTTCCCTTAGCAAAACCCGACGGCAGGTGTCACTCCTTAGTACCACACAAAGGTTTTACGCCACAGGAACCAAATTTCAGCATGTGAGCATTGCAAGTTTATAGTTCTTTACACTTGCAGATGTTAGAAGTTTTTCAGTTATAGTATTAACTGTATACACACAGGTATTGCACAGTGCAATGTTTTCAAAATTAAAAAAAACAGGAAGTGTGACATACATTTTTAATAGATTGTACAAAGTTTTCTCTCACGGGCAGTATTACTCGTGACTTTATCATTCTGCAATAAAGTCAATAAAAGTTTCTTGTGATCATGACTCCCCATGCCCATATTAAAGTGCTTAAAAAACCCCAGCCACAAGACTGAAAATACCTGTGAACCGGAACTGGAAGCTGAACAGCAGTACTCCTTTGTTACTTACATATATAAATACCGTTTATGCATGTACAGAATTAAATATTTTGAAATGTCAAACTCTGAAACGCTTCAAAGATAAAATGAATGGCAATCTAAGTTACAATCCTGTTGGTGAAAACTTGCATATGTCATACTGCATTCTACTTTCAAACAAAACTTTTACTTTAAAAGGTTTGGTTTGTACTACTGTAAATTCATCAGAAAAGGCAACTTTCAAACATTACTTTGTGTAATTTCTCCAGTCAGATACATAGTTTCAGAAACTATAGCATTTACATGGGGGCAGATTAATTTCAGTTAGCTGGTACTATATCAAAAGATAAAGCATGCTGCCAAATGTACCCAGTGTACTGTTATATGAGATTTTTCATTAGCTTGTGATATTTTTATCTCTTTCATGTAATTACTTGTATTTTTCTTATGAAAAGATTCATTATATTTTTTATGTGGGGTCATTTTGTAAAGGTGGAACAGGAAAGGTGCAATTATGAGTAATGCTCAGTTAAATATTCATTGCTTAAATGATGTAATATAATATAATTAATGTGCTAATAAAACTTGCAGCCAAAAACTTCACCTAAATCTTTATCCATAGCGCATTTGGATCTATTCTTCCATTCATAAGTAACTGCAGGAGTTATATGGAGAAGATCTGATTCTCTGCTATGGAAGTGGACCTCACAGTAGGTTCAGAATAAGGTGAATCTTGTTTTTAAATTATTTTTAAGCACAATAATGGAACATGGTTCTCAAAAAACTACAATGCATGAAAACCAGCATAGAGAGCAGCTTACAGAGATTACTGAACACTTGGTGAAAAATTAACATTGCTAGCAATAGTTTAAAAACATTCATACTCCATAAATTATAAACTCACATTATACAACTCTGTGGTGTTAATTATAATTCATGGTAGTCACATATATTGCCTAATATAAATTTCTCATACTCTTGCATGTTTGTTTTTGCTGCCTTATTTAGAAGATTCTTATCTACACATTGGAATCACTTCAAACAACCAGGAAAATGCCTTGCATTTACAGTTTCTGGCAAAATAAATGAGTCAAATGCCATAAATTATTTTAAAGAAAACATGGTATTCTCATCAAAATCCTGGTCAGCTTTCTGACAGGTGGGAGATGGTGATTACACAAAGGTTCATCCAAACGTTCAATCACAAACTTCTAATTACATCTGAATTATTCTCACATATGAAGAACTGCATTCATAAATAACAAAAGTTTTCTCTAATAGGTAAAAATTCATGAGTGAAAAACAATTGTGTTAGAGACACAACTAGATTTACACAATGAAAAATACAATGGAAGAGGCAATATAATGCCGCTACACAATTAATGCATGCTTTTTGTTGGTCATAATTCTACAAAGATAGGACTGAGAAAGCTATAATCACTACATTTCCTTGTGCAACAATATATAGAATTATATTTTCTTTTGAGTTTATGATAAATGGATACCATTATTTTCTGAAGAAATAAAAAGCAAATAAATGCAAATATGTTACCATTACTGGGTTATCTGCTGTATTCATTTAAAATAATATTTTCTCACACTTTTGTTGTACACAGCAACCTTTATTTCAAAGATGTTAAAAAGTCACATTCAGGAATCTCTTCCAGTTTCTGTACTTTAAACCTTGCAATGTACCTTTAAATTCATTAATGAATCAGTTTGGAAGTTACATCATAAAATTAATACTTAATGTTAATAGTTTACCTGTTGCAGAGTAGTTAAATCTTAAAGCATTACATGATAGCATCACAAAGAGCTACTTACTTATACATCACTTAATGGATTACAAAGAAACTCAGTTTTCAGTGAATCTCGAGATAATGTATATAATTTCTAGAATTTAAAACACATATGGTATAAAGCAAAGAACCAAAAGTATAAATTAATTTGTCATAAATATTGAACCTATATATTATCCGGGCTTCAAAACAACAGGGTATGTTTAAAAACTGATTTTGAGGATACAAAATACTGTTACATATGGACTAAAACATATAACAGAAATAATATTTAAAATGATATACATAGTATCTATAATAATGTCTATTTCATCTTTAACTATCAAAACTAATATCCATTTCAACTTTTAATTATATTGGAGAACTTCAGGATTTTACAATCTGCAGTATCGATCCACAAATCAGAGAATATAGCAGAGACCACGGGATGATGCCTAAAATAATTAAGTCTCTGAAGACAAAATAATTCCAGAAACTCTCCGTCGGTCACGGCAGTACTCTTTGTTACTTTTATAAGGTCTCATCATTAACACAAAGAGAAGTTAGGAGCAGACAATCCACAAGGCACACTGTGCCTTGGCTGTATGGCCATCAGAAATACTGCTGTGCAAAATGCAGCACCGTACACAGCGTTACTTGGGTTAAGCATATGGGAAAACCAGCCAACATACTCATCTGGATTAAACATTCTGGACTAAGAGGCAGCCTCCATCAGCCTTTGTGTACCAGAATTCTTTGGTTTCATAATATAGCTTGGGAGAACTACCTCAACACAGTCTATTCGTGCTGATGCTCCTGACGCTGCCATTTCTGGTGCCCGAAAATCTGCTGACTCCACATCCTCTGCTGTTCGAGCCACTGTACACTCTCAGGCGATGGGCAAGGGCACTCTCCATCTTCAGACGCTAAGATGAGAAAAATCAATTTCAATGCCCAAAAGATGGAACTGCTGGTGCAGAAGGTGTCTAAACACAACCAACGCATCTATGGCACTGAAGACCTCTGAGACTTTACACCTAATTCTGTATCAAGGGCCTAAAATAAAAAGCACCACAAAGACAGAGGTCCTACATACAGAAACTGGAAATCAAGCT